ATATCTCAGTATCCGGTCAGAGTGCTGTTCGTCTGTATAATGCATGTGATCGTTCCCATGACCTACAAACAAAGAAAAGCACCAGTGAGTCCTAGATGCACTTAAAAGAATCCACACGTTACACGTGGAATGTACACTCCGCATTACTGCACCCACTACACTTGCAGGCTGCAGTAAAGGGAGACGCGGCCCACCGACAGCGCAAAGAAAAAACCGCCGTGGTAGTTGAACCCACATCAGACGATGAAAACTCAGACACAGCCGCCACCGCCCAACACAGCATGAGCGAGGCTGACCAGGTCGTGTTGGAGGAGAATGACTGGGTGTTCGAGGTGTGTGTGGTATGAATATGGGAGTATGTGCGTGTGCATGTACAGGTATATACAGTACACCGACTGCAGGCCAATATAACAGTATCAGTGTGGCTGACCAGGCCGTGTTGAAGAAGAATCATTGGTTCTTCGAGGTGTGTTTTGTTTCATATAAATATGTGTATGTGTGAAGTAGCAGATGCATACAACGTGCGAGTGCTTGGCTCGATCTAAGTACACGTATGTGTATGGGTACATATACAGTCGTAGGCAGTATACTGACTGCAAACCAACAGAACAGCGTCAGTGAGACTGACTCAGGCGGTGTTAGAGGAGCATGGCTGAGTGTTCCAGGCGTGCGCGATAAATGTTTGTGCATGTCGGCAGACCCAACAACCCAACAGGAGCAGTGCGGCCGACCCATCAATATTAGCGGACAGAGACCGAATGCTTCAGCCGAGGTATCTGGATAAGTCTTTGTCTACGCACACACACAGTGCTATACAGTGCACAGGTGGTGCACGCATGGAGCCACTACGACATGCGACGACACGAGTGTCGTTGATTTTTCGGACCGTTTGGGTGCGCTTTCATTGCACGTGCTGAGCGTCGTACGTTTGCGGTCATGCACAACCCGTACACACCTGTTGGCCTATTCGATGGTGGGCCATTGCAAGTGTTTTGCGTTCATGTGTGCTATAGGCTGCAATCTTGCGAGTCTATGTCACACAACTCAGTGGGTCGCAGCAATAGAGAAGTCCAAAGGTCTCGTTCTAGTCTCCATTTATACCAGGATAGCCTACTCATCCTGAATGTATCGCACCTACTCCCTTGTATCTCACCTACTCCTTAGTATCTCACCTACTCCTTAGTATCTCACCTATTCCTTTGTATCTCATCTTCTCATTTGTATCTCACCTACTCCTTAGTATCTCACCTACTCCTTAGTATCTCACCTATTCCTTTGTATCTCACCTTCTCATTTGTATCTTATCTACTCCTTAGTATCTCACCTACTCCTTTGTATCTCATTAACTCGTTTGTATCTTACCTACTTCTTTGTATCTCACTTACTCCTTCGTATCTCATTTACTCCTTCGGATCTCACCTACTCCTTAGTATCTCACCTACTGCTTTGTATCGCACCTACTCCTTTCCCATAGGCGAGCGACGATCTGGATGTGTATATAGCGCAACGCGAATTCGAAAAGGCCGTCAAGTTGATCCACAAAACTCAAGCGTTTGTGCGGGCCAAAAAGGTGTCCAATGAAATGCTCATGGCTGAGTTGGACGACATGATCGAGGTATATCTGGGTCAGCCCCAGTGCATGCAATGCAGGATACCTGAACGTATACGCACACATGAATGAGTGCAGGGGCGCTCATCCTCGCCTCACCCCTTGTACTGTGCATAACCCCAGAAGACGTGCGTCTACGGGAGAACCTGTACCCACACTTGCACTTGCATGTAATACGATTGTTCGCACACACCTGCACGTGTATGTAGTGCGATTGTTCACTCACACCCGCTTCCTCTGCATGTACACACCACCACCACAGGTGCGCCAGGAGGAGATCACGGGTCTGCTCATGAGCGAGCTCAGTAATCCCACCATGAAAAAGAAGGACATGCAGCGATGTATCAAGCTGTGTGTCAGCCTGGGCCAGAACAACCGCGCGCGTGCCATGTTCCTCAAGAACAGAGGAGGTGGTCTACACAGGGACATGCGCCACATTAAGATCGAGGGGGTGACGGAGGTGTACGTGTACAAGCTGTCGCAGATGTTCTTCAACTTCATCCGCACGGTGACCATGGAGTTTCTGTCAAGTTTCAGCGCCGTTGCCCGATCGTTCGGGTGGGTGGTACTTACTGATGCGAATGGAGTGAATAAGCGACAATTTAATATATATATATATATATATATATATATATATAT